ATCAATGGCGGAGAAGCCAATTCTGTTCGAGATGAACCTAGCTTGGAGCTATGGCACAAACGCCTCGACCACATGAGCGAGAAAGGGCTACAGATCCTGAACAAGAAAGGATTACTGACCGGGTTGAAAGGCCAAGCGTTGGAGAGTTGCACGCATTGCCTAGCTGGAAAGCAGCACCGGGTTTCTTTTGTGAGACCGGATCAACCAAGACGACGCATGTATATTCTTGACCTCGTCCATACTGATGTCTGCTCTATGCCGAAAAGATCCCTTGGAGGAGCTCAGTACTTTGTTTCATTTATTGATGACCATTCCCGCAAAGTGTGGGTATATTTGTTGAAGTCTAAAGACCAGGTACTCCAATCCTTTAAAGAATTCCATACAATGGTTGAAAGGGAGACTGGCAAGAAATTGAAGGTGGTCCGATCTGATAATGGTGGTGAGTATTGCGGCCCTTTTGATGCATACTGTAGAGCGGCTGGGATCAGACTTGAGAAGACGCCCCCAAAGACTCCACAGTTGAATGGACTGGCTGAGAGAATGAACATAACTATTGAAGAGAAAGTACGAAGCATGTTATCCAATGCGGGTTACCGAAATCATTCTGGGGAGAAGCCGTCAAAACTGCTGTTGACTTGATCAACCTCTCCCCTTCACGGCCACTTGAAGGAGAAGTTCCAGAATAAGTCTGGACAGGTCGAAAAGTGGCCTATAATCAATTGAAAGTGTTTGGATGCCGAGCTTTCATGCATATCCCTAAAGATAAAAGGGCAAAACTTGATGCGAAGACAAAAGAATACATCTGTCTTGGTTCGCCGAGATGTGAGTTCGGGTTCCGACTTTGGGATCCAATCAATAAGAAGATAGTGAGAAGCCGAGATGTGATCTTTCATGAAGATGAGAATATTCATGACATCTCGAAGCCCAAAGTTCGAGTTACTGTCAGACACGAAGAACCCAACCTCCTGTCCAAGCTGAAGCAGGGGGAGAAAATCAAGAAGAGAATGAAGAAATTGATGACCAGCAACAAGCTGAAGATGACCAAGACATTGAGGTCCGAGTTGATGATGAGATCCAGGATGAGAATGATGAACCGAGTTCTCAAGCTGAAGAACAACCAAGATATCCAACTCGAGAAAGAAGACCCTCTACAAGATATCCATCTGATGAATACACCGTTGTTGATGAAGACGGTGAGCCTCAGAGTTATGATGAGGTTGTAACGAGCTCAGAGAAAGAAGAATGGGAAAAGGCAATGCAAGACGAGAAGAAGTCTCTGCACGAGAATCAGATTTATGAGCTGACCGAGTTGCCTAAAGGAAGACGAGCTTTGAAAAATAAATGGGTCTACAAGATTAAGAATGAAGAGAACGGGCAGAAGTTAAGATACAAAGCCCGGATTGTAGTGAAAGGCTGCAATCAGAAGAAAGGAGTAGATTTTGAGGAGATTTTTTCTCCTGTGGTGAAAATGACCTCGGTCCGAACCGTTTTAGCCATGGCGGCTTCGATGGACCTCGAGGTAGAACAATTGGACGTGAAGACAACATTTCTTCACGGTGATTTAGAAGAAGAAATATATATGGAGCAACCTGAAGGATTCCAAGCTCCAGACCAAGAAGACTTCATATGTCGGTTGAAGAAGAGTCTTTATGGCTTGAAGCAAGCACCTCGGCAGTGGTACTAGAAGTTTGAATCATTCATGACTGATCATAAGTTTGAAAAGACAGAAGCTGACCACTGCGTATTTGTGAAGAGGTATGAGGCCGAAGATTTTTTGATTTTGTTGTTATATGTTGACGACATGCTTATTGTAGGGAAAGACAAATCGAGGGTAGCCGCCCTGAAAAAGGCGTTGAGCTCGTCCTTCGCAATGAAGGACCTCGGCCCTGCAAAGCAGATACTCGGAATCAAGATTATCCGAGATAGACAGAAGAAGCTACTGTGGCTGAGTCAAGAGAAATTTATTGAGAAGATTCTGAAGAGATTCAGCATGGACAAAGCCGAAACAGTGAGCACCCCCCTTGCCGGACACATAAAGCTGAACCAGAAGCAATGTCCGAGATCTGACGAAAACAAAGATGAGATGATGAAGGTCCCTTACCAATCCGCTGTCGGAAGCTTGATGTATGCAATGGTTTGCACTAGACCCGACTTGGCGTATGCTGTTGGAATGGTAAGCCGGTATTTGTCAAACCCCGGCAAAGAGCACTGGGAAGCAGTGAAGTGGATCTTCAAGTACCTCCGAGGTACGACCAATTTATGCCTCCGATTTGGAGAAGGCAAAGTCGAGTTGCAAGGCTACTCGGATTCTGATTTAGGGGGAGACGCCGACTCGAGGAAGTCGACTACAAGATATTTGATGAGATTTTCCGGAGGAGCTGTCTCTTGGCAATCAAGACTTCAGAAATGTGTTGCACTATCGACAACTTAGCTGAGTACATTGTCGCTACTGAGGCAAGCAAAGAGATACTGTGGATGAAGAAGTTCCTCATGGAACTCGGCCATGATCAAGACAAGCACGAGCTGGGTTGTGACAATCAAAGCGCAATTCATCTTGCAAAGAATTCAACCTATCACTCCCGCACTAAGCATATTGATGTGAGGTATCACTGGATCCGGGATGTGGTGGAAGGTGGAGAGCTCGAACTCGTCAAAGTGCACACTGACCAAAATTGGTCCGACATGATGACGAAGCCGGATCCAACAAGAAAATTTGAAGACTGCTGCGAAGGAGCCGGGTTGATGCTGAAGCCGACGCATTGAAGTCGGAGGGGGAGATTTGTTGGGCTTCCTCCTTCAATGCTAAGCCCAAGCCCATTGAGGGGTTTCCTAAAAACCCTAACCCTAGATCTCACCTCCTCTATATATTCATTAGTTGTGAGTGGAGGCTAGGTTAAGAGATTAAGAGAGAGATTTTATATTTGAGAGAAATTTGTTTGAGATTTGAGAGCAAAGCTTTATGCTTTGCATTTGAGAGATCTCTAGAGAGAGTTTGAGTGAAACATCTATAGGGTAGTTTGATTATCATCATTGTTGGAGAAGTTGAGTTAACCACCACATTGGTGTATTCTGATCATTTTGTAACCATCATTTTCATAGTGGATTTTTTGATCTGGACTAGGTCCCGTGGGTTTTTACTTCTTCATTGGAGAAGGTTTTCCCATGTTAAAATTGCTTGTGTTCTCTCTCTCTCTCATTCTCTCTCTCTCTCTCTCTCCTGTTTTTCGTTTTGATTTTCCGCTGCGCTGCCCGGCCTGGTGAAGTTCAGGCGGAGGTATTGCCGAGATCTGAGATCGAGGATCTCATTGACTGACTTCCGCAAAGGCCCTTGAGCCGATCTGAGAGAACCGAGTTCCCAACAAAATAAACGTGTTGGGATCTCTCCTCGCTATGTTTCATTATCTACAAGCTGTAATTCTGTAAAGGCATTATCCTGATTTTCTACTCTCGTGCCTCCCATTTAGCAAGCACAGGACCAAATCATCATCATCATCTTCATAATAATAATAATAATAATAAACGTTCACTATAATGTCGGTCACATCAACAACAATAGCATTGATTAGTCTAACCCCACCTGTGATATCTACCAAAATATTTTGGTGCTACTATAATATACGGATTACTCGATACATTATTTATTAAATATGAAAAAAAATATTTATATAAGAATCATTTCGTCCAGAGAATTTTAAAATAATGAAGATTCTTACAAGAAATAGTTGGTCAACTACCTATAATCGGGAGAAACAAATAACTACTTATAAAAATAACACAATCCATCAAAAACCAATTTTGAATTTATTAAAAAACCGGTTTTGAACTTGATAACCGGTTTATGGTTCATAACCGGTTTTGATTTAAAACCGATTGTGAATTAAAACTGGTTTTAAAGCAAAACCGGTTATAAACCATAAACCGATTTTGGAACCGGTTTCAAACCGGTTTAGAAAATTGAAAACCGGTTTTAAGATAAGAAAACCGGTTCAGTTTGAAAACCAAACCGTTTAAAACCGGTTCGGTTCGATTTTTGTTAAAACCGGCTATAAACCGCTCCATTCACACCCCTACTAACATGTATGAGTCATGTGTGCATGAAAAGTGTGAGATAATCAACTATAAAATGGGACCATCTGTCCTTTAATGCACAAGTATTTGAGAGCATTTACTATGCTCCTAGACCACCATTCTCTAGGTGGTCCCCCTTTGAAGATAGGGGGGTAGAAACTATGCTCCTAGACCACCATTCTCTAGGTGGTCCCCCTTTGAAAATAGGGGGTAGAAATGGAAATGAAGAAAAATGGGAGTGGATCCTCTCATGTGAAAAAGTGGTCATGTAATCATATTATTTGATCACAACCACTCATTGATGATGAGATAAGAGAGAGAAAAGTGTATAATTTTTAAATGAGTGATTATGATCAAATAACATGACCACATGACTACTTTTTCACATGAGATAATCCACTCCCAATAAAAATAGTAGGGATACAAAGAAAAAGAAAAATGTGACTTTGAGAGGGACGGACCATCAAGTCTTTGAGTGATCTCGGTTCTTTGAAAATATTTCGTAAGTATTTTAACTTTGCCGGGCGGTCCAATGGGATGTTCAGTCAAGGCCATCCAAGTGATACAAAACACTTACTCTGTGCTTCCAAGATATTAGTGTCAAACCCCCTCTTTACTTTCATATTTCCAAAAATAAAATATAAAGTATAAATGGTACCATGGAAAAATCAAATAAAATTTCTTCATTACAATCCATAATTATATTAGCAAATTATTCTCAGGAAACCTTCCATGACAGCAAACTCAGAAAAATGAAGAATACAATAGGGATACAATCAAAGATCTATACCATTTTAAATATGTATTATGTACCCGGCAGTAACATTTTCTCATCTCCAAAACCATGAAGAGAATTTTCTTCAAAAATAAAAAATCATAACGGACAGACAGAAAGCACTTCATATAAGTATGTGAAGATTTGCAAAATGTGAAAAAAATTAAACAAGAAATGAACTTATTAAGTTTCCCATGCTCCCTTTTGATGACTTCAGCAATTCATGCATTGAACCAGATTTTACATCTTCTAATAATGGCTATTTGAGCTCTGGCATTTATGCTGAGAACTTTCATTGTTTTCATTGGTGCTGGTAGTTGCATCATAATAAGAACAGCAAAAGGAAGTGCCTTCTTTGTGAGGCTCTCTCATATTTGAGCTTATATCCACAAATCCTGTTCTTTGTCTTGGTGTGCTCATAGACCTCTCCTTTGCTTTGCTAGATTCAGTAACAGCCATGTATGTACGAAAAAATGGAGAATTTGGCATTGAAATTTCATCCCCAACTGAACTTATTTTTACATGAGAAAATGATTTCCTTGGGATTGAAATTTGTGAACTCAATCCTTCTTCTTCCAATTCTTTTTTGATTGTGATCATGTTTAAAGGAGATGGTTTATAAAGCATATCCCAATCATGTGTTTCTTTATGTAGCCACTCTCCTAGTGTACGGCAACTCTCTCTTCCAAATTCCTTGTTGTGCATAGATTCTTCCATGATTTGGGGAATTTTTCTCTCCTACAAAAGATAAATTACATGGCTATTATAACATGCATGACATGATTGTACTGTCTTACAAAAATAAGAAAGTAATAGACTAAGGATGGAAAATGAATATCACGAATCAACTCTCCTAGACGCTTAAGTTGTTGGGTGAAGATATATGAATGGTTTTATTAGATCTCTCAACACGTTCCATCACGCGAATACCTTTAAGCTTCAAAGCATGGATATGTATAGGCTTATTTTTTTTGTATAACCTTGTGCTGAAATTTAACATTTTCTTTTTTATTAGAAGAATGGTCATAGGCTCTAATACTATGTCATGAACCAATTCTTCAAATAGTTTAAGAAGTTTGGTGAAGGCATGTGAATGACTTTATTAAATATCTTAACACGGAGTTAGTGGCATTTAACAATGTATGAAAAGGTAGGCTCATTTTTCGAACTAACTTGACTTTTTATCTTTTCTTTAAATTTGTTTCTTACCTCTCCATTTTTTTATGAGTAAAAATACTGAGAAATAATGCCAAATCAAATGACATTCATTACCTTTTGTGAAGAAGAGTATTGCTTCATGCGCTCTCTTTTGACAATAGCCTCTTGCTTTCTTAACCATATGGCTTCAATGTCTTCTCTTGAGTGCAAGCTACAATCCCAAGTTCTTTGACTATGGCATTCAGGCTGCAAAGACATTCTTGAGTGGATTAGACATGGGAATTGCTCAAACTCAATGCAAGCTTTATTCACAGGCTTATGACGTCAAAACTATTCAACTAAACATAAGGGACCAAGTCATGTGAATTGGAATGGGGAGATCTACTAACTTGCAATTGAAAAACTAAACAGAGAAGAAAGCAATGTTTCACATTCTTGATCCATTCCCTAATCTTGGGAAATGGTTTACTGAAGATCATTAATGGTTGTGTTTCCCACATTTTCCCTTCTATTAATATAAATGTTACATACTTACCTTCAGTTCCTTCTCTTCTAACTTCTTTTGCTTTGGAAATGGCTTAATATGTTCATTTTTGTAGTTTTCTAAGGCCTTATGGATGCTTCTTTCATGAATTTCAACCTGATTTCTTGCATCAGAGGGAAAATTCTTCAAAGTTCTGGACACTTGACGTCTCACAACTTGACCACGAACTATGGCTTGCAGTCTTATAATTCCCTTCAATGCTCTTAATGCTTTCCTAGCCTGTTTCATTCCCAGTTTAGAGTTCAAGTATATGTGAGTCCAAAAGTGTTTATTTCTTTTGTGAGTCCAATTAGACAATCAACTATAGTTTGATATGAGTGAATACATTTGACAATAGAGAATCATATTGATCAAAACTGAAACTCACAACACAAATTCTAAGTAATCAGGAGCAATTACAAATGCATCAATATAGTATCTTGGCATATGATGTAACAAGATATTTGGTTGCAAATTTCTTAAGTACTATAACCCAATCTAGTATTTGGAAGCAAAAGCCTGGGCAATTTTCCAGCAGTTCTAATTGCTAGACACACTTACCCCTTTTTATGCCATTCATCCATCTTTCTCACCTAAATGGACAATTATGTGCCAATGAGGGTTGGCACAGTTGGTCAAACCTTCCGCCCATGCTAGTGATGGTTTGGTTTTGATTCTCAATTTTCCCTCTTTAATCTCATTTTAAATTTTTAATGAGGTTGGCGGTCTTTCTTGACCTTGCATGGGAGCGTGCCTACCCTAATCTAAACTTCTGTGTAAAAAATATGGGCCATTATGTTACTAAAAGGAATACAAAGAAAGACTTTGTCCAAGGTTGGAATGAAATTACTCTTAATTTCTATCCCTTGCTTGTTTATTTTGTCCATGTAAATCTCTTTCAAACAGGGATAAATCTTCTCATATATCATTTAACATAACCAGATCATGTGAGACAATCTCAACTGTCAATGGACAAATCAATGGTCTCTAGAGTCATCCTGATTTGTCTATGGACGGTTTATATCGTCTCACATGAGTCATGTTAAATGAGACATGAGATGATTCATTTCCATTGCAAACTGCAAATCCAAAATTTGAAATCATATTGAAAATTTGGTGATTGATACAGAAGAAGAACCAGGTTCTAAGGAAGCTCACAAGATGTCCACGATAAGCACTTTGAATCTTGATGGCTGCAAAACTTCGGTCTCCTTTATACAGATATGAATAAGAACGTGAAGCACCTGTGAGCTTGACAACCTCTGCAGCAGCATGTGCAGCAGCAACTGCAGCCTCTGCAGCAGCTGCTGTTGCAATAGCCACAGTCAAAGCATGTTTTCTCTGCTCAGCACTTGCTTCAATCAATGTCCTATTTGGTGCTGTAATTTTTGGATATTGTGTTTGCTTAATCCTTCCAAGACTCCATCCCCATTTTTTTGCCTTCTGAAGAGACTACAGAAAAGAAATATTAACCAATATTAGTACTTTACAACTGTTAGACGATTATACCAATATAAAAGCATTATTCTTGAACACCTCTTACTTTGTCCTTTGACTCAGAAGTGAATAGCCTTTTCAACCATCCAAACCAGCTCTTCCTCTTTGCCATGAAGATTTTATGACATCTTCCAAACCAAAATTGTCAGACACCATTTCTATTCTTCAAGCACATCCTATATTTGATCTTGAAAAAAAGAGGGACAAAGCAATAAGTGAAGTTCAGAGATGTTAATATACATGAGTTCATAATTAACATGCTTCATTTGTCTCCATTCTACTTTAATTCCTCACCTCGCTGTTCTGTTCAATTGCTAACATGAAAGAAACCAACGCTGTCACTGATAAACTTTTAATTTTCAGTAACTACCATTTAATGGTTCAGTAGGACTGGAATATAACTTGAACAGAAGATATGTTTTAAATTTGGAAAAAAAAAAAAAAAAAATCATATACACACAAAGTGTAGACAGAAAAGGATATGTTCAAGTTTAATCATATCAGCAACACCACAAGTTAGGCAACTTCAAGAAACTAACCTTTTCATAAAGCAAGTGACCCCCAATGACATGAAGTACCTAAAAATCAGGATGAAGTTAAGGCAAAGAGAAATCCCCTTTCAGCTTCGTTGATGATTTCCTATGTGGGTCCTTTCTCCTTTGGCTGTGTCATCAAAATAGAGCTTTTTATTATGTGTTTTAACATTGAGCATCATGTATTATTAGCTATGTGGAATGTTAACAGCATATTATTTCAAACACTCTTTTCTACTTACTTTTTTGAATTTTATGTGCGTTTCCTTGGATATAGTCATATAGAGTGCATAAGTAAGTTAATAGGACCCACATGAAACTCACCCCATTATAAAAATTGAATTGAAAAAAGTGTTATTAGTAATTTTATTTTATTTTTATATTAACCACCGGTTTATTGATTATTTAATTAGTCTAATTCGAACCGAATAGAATCACATAAAGCTCCCCTTAACACGTTTTAACATAACTGTGTTTCTAGAAAGTCGAACAAAAAATCACTAATCATGTCAGAACAATCTCTTACGAGTTGATCCATGTGTTTTGTTGTTGTTTCTAGCATTTTTTACGGCACTCACAACTTGAAAGGAAAGTCAGATAAGTCACTTTTTTCTAATTTTAATAGGTGATGCAACAAAGGGTAGTGAATAAAATTTTGAGAACTGCATTGACTCTTGTGATAATGTGGCCAATGGAGTTAGCCTCCTAAGATGACTTGTGGTTACTTAAAAGCCGGATAACATTAAACTCCATGGGTCTATCTTGCCTCTTTTCTCTTTCAATGTCAACAATGTCAACAATGTCAATTTATCAATTGCTACGGTCCATTGCAAATGTTTGGTTCCCAAAATGACCCTTTGGTTTTTCTACCTTCCGTTTTCCTCGGCTGGGTCTCGGAGACAGGCACTGGCCAATAGTACTGAAAATGAAATGGGACAATTTGAATTGAAATGAATAAAAATATTCTTTATAATGTTACTTTGTGATTAAAAAAAGTGTTTATGTATACTACCAACAAGGTTCGAACAAATTGCTTGAAAGGCTTAGGTAAGTGTCATTGCGAGAAGATCTACATGGATCCTCTCATGGATCTTAATCAATGTTTGATCCCGAAGGATTACAGGTTAATATTTGATCTAAGGTTGAGGGTGTCTATAGAGGAGACAACGGTGTATAGCGGTGGATTAGTGTGCACGATGAGATGACAGAGAACTAAAAATAGATCGAGTGTGTAGATTAAGATTTTTAGAGTACGTATCTATGAGATTTAACCTTCTATTTATAGAGAGTTTTTACATAAAGGTGGACTAGATTCACTTGGTTCAATGAACCAGCGACAGCCCATGACCCAGGTCCAAAACCTGGGTCTAAAACAATCAATAATAAACAAAAGAGAAATATTACTTTCCTTTAATATAACTTTTCTTATATTTTTTTATTTTGATTTTCGCACCTCACTTTATTTTTTTTTTGTCTTTTTTCTTGTAATGGTGAATCCACTTATTTTATTTCTACAACATAAAATAACTATCTTATGTAAAATGAGACTAATAAAACCCATAAACAAATTAATGTGATAATTTTGTGACTTTCAAATTCAATATTTTTTTTTCTAACTTTTTATTATCTTTGATTCACCTTTATATAGTTAAAATTTTCTCACATAACACAATAACGTTAAATAACACGTTTGAACATCCACTCTGATAAATCAAATGTTGAAACTTATGACATGCTGACCTTAAAGTTGGGTAGTTCTTCATTGTCACAAGTTTCTTTTTTATTTATATAAGGGGTGTAAATAACTCGGCTGCGGTAGGCAAAAAGTGACTTGGGCCAGGATCTAACCTCTCACATCAACATCACACCTCAAATATTAAAGATTTGGATTAGAACTCCTTGACCCTTTTCCTGAACTTCTATTCATGAAAAGGGCAGTATTTTTTTCTTCTGTTATATAAAAAAAATGTGTAACGTAATCAAGCATGAAACAATAGCTAATTTTCGTAATAGATATTCTGGCAAGTAAATGTTTTGCCTTTTTTTTTGTTACATTAATGTTTGTCTTTTTTTGTTGGTACATATAATGTTTGCCTTTTAAATTTGTGGGTTTAGGGCTAACACGGGTGAACATTAATTAATTAATTCATTTATGTAATAAAAAACATGCCATTTGTGTTTACTCACATATAAAGGTGTTAACGGGCCGAGCCGAACCGAGTTTTGATCTTAAAAAATTAAGTTTGTGTTTAAATGTGTCAGCCTGACCAAACATGTTGACTGTTATAAATATAATTATCGACCTGTGATTTGTCTTATTTATAAAAAATAAAAGTCTGGTTTAGCCTGTTTAAAAAAAATAAGACAATACAAATTTATCTAAACAGAATATATAATCAACAACACTAGTAATTTCATAAATATTCATAAATTCAATGTATATCCAAACAGTATAATATAGAACAAAATCATTCAAAAAGTCTGTTTAACCAATAAAATGAGGTGAAATAGATTGAGAAGAAAGAGAAGACTATCACAAGTAGTATAAAAAATATAATATAAAAATAAAAAGTAATATATTAGGCCAGTCTGAGAGGTTCTAAGGCCGAACTTTTAAATTGGTACCTGAGGCCTTTTTATTAAACGAGCTTTTATACAAGTTCAAGTCTGCTGCCAACAACCAATTTTAGACATAGAAGCTCAGACCTTCACGAGCCGAGTCAATACCCCTGATTCGTTTAGCACCCCTACTCACATATAGTGTTTGTTCCTTTATTGTTTGGCAACTTCCTTATGGTTTTTTAATTAATTATTTGCCATGGTTTAATTGTAATTAAAAGTCTCATTTTATGCACAAACATGGAATTCTTTCGGGTAACTCGAACATAGAAATTTTTATGTATACTGTTTATCAATTCACATTCATAAGTGAGCTATCTCTGACATTGACAGTTGAATTGTGTGTAGTACTACTATTTGGAATTTTCTTTTGTAAGCTTTCTACTTCTAGTCAATGGCAACTGGCAAGGATATCATAAAGATGCTTTCGGTTGAGGGGGCATTATCTAGTCGCATTAATTTGTGGAAGGGGTTAAATTCATGTGTAAATTGAAAAATAATTGCATGTGACGGTGACCTATCAAATACAATGAAGAATTCACTTATATCAATGCTACCACAGAGTCAACATATCATTGAATATCCGAACCACCATGACATCCGTTTAACATACACATTGCAAATGTTTTTTTTTTGGTGTCTCTCTATTAAATTTTAATATAGCTGCATACTACGGATTCCAATTTAAATTCGCTATTTAACTTAGAATAATCTTGTACCAGTTGATAGGCCGGCAAAATGGGCTGAGCCCGCCGGGCTGGCCCGCCCCGCCTGTCAAATGGGGCGGGCTGGGTTGAGTTTTTCAACCCACCAGCCCGCCAAACCCGCCCCGCCAGCCCATATGGGTCAGCCCGCCACGGGGCGGGTTAGCCCGCCAAGTTCTTTTTTTTTTTTTTTTTAGGTTACCTAATTGTTATGTAGCTCCGTATCTTAGATTTCTCTGCATGCAAATGGCTTTTTTGAATTGTTGTGGACTGCTCATACAACACTTTGTTACTTGTTTTGTTACTCTATTTTATCCTGATATGATTTTATTTTTTTATTATTATTTTTGGATTGAAAGATGCATATTTATATGCAGATTATTAAACACTGATATTCTTGGTTTCATAAGCACATTAGGATTTTATGCAGATTTTTGTATGCTTTTATGCAGATTTCTTTATGTGATTTTATGCAGAATTTAATTTTTTGTATTTTATTTTTATACTTTTTTATTATTAGGCGGGCTGGCCCGTAGCCCGCCAGCCCACTCATAAAACGGGCCGGGTTACTCAATTCAACCCATTTTGTCAAAATGGGCCGGGGCGGGCCAGCCCATTTTAGGCGAGCTAGTGGTGGGCCGGGGCGGGCTGGCCCATATTGCCAGCCCTACCTGTTGATTTATGTGCTTAGTGGTTAAAAACCACAAATTTAGTAAGGGCTATATTGGTATTGGACAGGATTATTTTACATTAATATGAGTTATATTTTTAATCTTAGTTATTGATTTCACTTGCATTTAATGAATCATGGAATAACATAGAGTTATTAGATGCTAGTAGATGGATGATTAATATTAAATATAGGACTTATTTGTTAATGAAAAAAGTGTATGTTATTTTAAAGAATATATTTTTGTGTTATTATAAATGAAGCGGCCGTATTTTGATAAATATTTGTTAGCATTTTATATTTTTTCTTCCCCATAAAATTAGGAGGACAGAAAAATAGAGAATATTGTGGAAGAGAAAGTATTGTGGAGGAGAAGAAAGTAAAAAATCAACAAATATATACTAAAATACTATTGTTTCACTTAGAGGTGGCAAAACGGGCCAACCCGCCCCGACCCGCCCCGACCCGCCTTCAACCCGCCAAAAGCGGGGCGGGGCGGGTTGACCCGCCGTTTGATGGTGGGTTGGAAACATCAACCCACCCCGTTTTGAGGTGGGTTGGCGGGTTGGCGGGTCAACCCGCTTAA